AACTGGGTAGGGGCGGGACTCGCGCGAGCACCGATAAACGGCGCGTTTAGGCCGCTGTGTGCGCGGGAGCAGGAGGGCTCGCCTGTGGCGGAGGCGGGAGTGGTGCCGAGGGCTGCGCTCGTGAGGGCGTGGGCGGGCTCGGAGGCGGTGGTGACGGGGGTGGCGGCGAGGGCGGCGGTGGCGAGGGAGGCGGCGGCGATGGCGGGGGCGGGCTTGGGGGCGGAGGGCTGGGCGGTGGTGGTGATGGTGGCGGAGGGCTGGGCGGCGGCGGGGATGGTGGCGGAGGCGACGGCGGCGGCGGCGACGGCGGAGGCGGGCTTGGCGGGGGCGGGGAGGGCGGTGGTGGCGAGGGAGGTGGTGGCGATGGCGGCGGCGGTGATGGCGGCGGCGGCGACGGAGGGGGCGGTGAGGGCGGCGGCGGAGAGGGAGGCGGCGGCGATGGCGGAGGCGGCGAGGGAGGAGGGGGTGAGGGCGGGGGCGGGCTTTGTGGCGGAGGGCTCGGCGGCGGAGGCGATGGAGGAGGCGGGGAAGGCGGAGGGGGCGACGGCGGCGGGGGCGATGGAGGGGGCGGCGAGGGCGGTGGCGGTGACGGGGGCGGCGGCGACGGCGGCGGTGGGGATGGCGGCGGGGGGGAAGGTGGCGGGGGCGAGGGCGGCGTGCTCGCGATGGCGGCGCCGAGTCGCCCCGAGCGGAGCACGGCCAAGGGTCTGAGACGCGGGGAGGGCGGGGCGGGAGGTCGTCGTGGGGGCGTGGGGGCGCGGAGGCGGCGTGCGGGGACGCGCGGAGGGCGTTGGTGGTGTGTGGGAGGTGGGCGAGGGAGAGCTGAGGCGGCCGGCGGTGGTGGCGGGAGCAGCGGAGGCGACGGCGTCGGAGGGGGTGGGGGGGAGGGAAACGGCGGCGGCTGTGGCGGAGACAGCGGCAGCGGCGGTGGCGAGGGCCTAGCCTGAGGGGGAGGGGGTGGGGGAGGGGATGAGGAACGGTGAGGGCGGCTGGGGCGGCCGGGAAGGCAACACAGGCGAGGCGCGGCGCACCTCAAACTCGAGCGAGTAGCGGGAATATCACCCGCTGCTCCGGCGGGAGATTGCTCCCCCGCCGCCCCCTGGGTCACCCCGAGTGACCTCGCAGCCCACGCCGTGAGGCGCTGCTGTCAGGGGGGTTTATCACCGCCGTATCCACCCCACACTGGCCGCCGAGGGGCCCGGCGGGCTGAGGCGCGCGAGGCGGCTTTCGCTCCCGTGGGGCGGCTCTACCCGTCTCAGCACGGCGTCCCGAGGTGTAGCCGTGTACCTGGTGGCAGGGCCATCACTCACACGCCTACTCGCGGCACAAGGGAAGGCGTGACGCGATCGCGAGAGGCGAGATGGGTGATGGCGAGACTGTCGTTTGGCCCGTTTGAGGCTGAAAGGATGACCGCGGACGATGAGGGCGACGATTCATCGCGGCTACTGAGCAGGCAAGGTCCGGACCTACAGGATGGAGGGGCGAGTAGTGAGACTCGGGACCATATCTTCGCGTCGAGAGACGAAAATCCGGATTCTTGGCCGCCAGCGCCGCCGGCCGCCGAACGTCACTTAAGGGAACTGCGCGACGACGACGACATTACTGAGGTGCTGCTTTCACCACCGCCCTTCTGGTGGTGTTTGCCGGTCGGGGGGGCGTCGGCAGCACCGCCGTTCCGCGCGGATGTTGCAAACGGTGGCTCGGGGCACCTATTTCGGCAGCCCCGGGGCGGGAGCCGAGGAGGGGCAGCCGTTGCGGTGGCGCCATTGCAGCTCGGCGGCGCGTGGGGAGCCGAGCGGCTCCCAGCGATCCCGCGAGAGAAGGGCCCGCATCCGTCACGGATGCCGCGCCCACGCTGCCCACGCAAGCGCCAGATGGGAGAGGAGGTTGGAAGCCTTTCTGCGCTTCGAGGTGCAAGATAACTCCGGCGATATTTTAGCGGGAGGAAGCCAGGTGGGGTTTAGCCCAATGTGCAGGGCTCCAGGCCCCAAACGACGTGTGAGTGTTAGATTTGTTTGGTATTGCTAAAAATCTCTCTCAGGTCTCGCGCGCTGGCGAGTACAAGTGCGCACACTTAATGATTTTCGGCCGGCCCGCCGGCCGCAGGTCGGGCTGGACGCGGCTGTTTCGGCCGGCGGTCGGGGTCGGACACCAGCTTTGTCGGCGCGTCAGCGCCGAAGAAAATTTTGGGCGATTTTCTTGTACTCCCGTCACTTCCAGCTCACGCTCCCGGTTTTGTCAAATAGGATTCGAATCTCGAACTTCTATTTACTCCTTGAGGTTCCCTCAGGCCCGCCGCCGCGCTCGCTGGACAGCGGCCGTGACTCACCTGCTTCGGGCGCGCTGCTCCTCGGGGATGGCGAGAAGCGGCAGAGATGATGCTCATAGATGAGCTAGCCCCAGATGCCCCGTTTGCCCCACTGCGGCACCGCGCTCGTGCCGGCGTGCGAGTGGGTACAATGCACCCCCTCGGCCGCTCGCGGCCCGGAACGCATCGGGAGATATTCATTCGTATACGCCAAGACGTGCTCAGATGGCACGTAGTAGTGTGACTGAGCGCGTGGCCACTCTCCACCCTCGATTGCGGGTGCGGCCGCGGCCGCAGTGGTGTAGGCGGACAGTAATGATGCCGCGCGGGCGGAGTGGCGGACACGAGGACGCTGCCGTCGGACGAGGGGTTGCTATCATACGCAAGCACGAGCCGTCGGTGACGCGACGGCGTCATCACCGTTGGCCAGCATAGAAGCGCGAAAACCTGCCCGTGTGTCGGATGCGTCCCCAAACTTGTAGCATACATCTTTGGACACACACCGGCGGGCGCTTTCGAGGCGACCGGCAGCATTTTTTCTAGCCACATGGACCTTTTTGCGGCACGATAGCTGGGCTGCAACATACGTGTACCTACACTCGACTACAGCTACGACTGCAACGGCGCGCAGCGCCGAAGAAAATTTTGGGGCTTCTCGAGCGGCGGCCGGTGTGGACGCCGTTGTTTCGCAGCTCGGTCGGGGGGGGGCGCCCCTGCGTTTCCCTGCGGTCGGTCGAAAATCATTAAGTGTGCGCACTTGTAGAGGCCCGGACTCGCCCTCTGCTCCAAGAGACCTCGAGAGAGGTGCCTCGCCTCGCCGCACGTGCCGGCTGAACGTCTCACCATGTCCGCCGCCATGTCGGGCGGCTTCGCATCTATGCGCGAGGCCTACGAACAGAGTGAAGGCGCGGCGAGCTACTACGCCGAGCACGGCGCAAAGTATCGAAACCCGCACGAGCCCGCGCTCACCGCGGCCCTCGCTGCCGCGCTCGGGCGGCTCGAGACGGCTGGCCAGCTGGACTGCTCGACGCGCCGGCTGCGCATGCTCGATCTGGCATGCGGCTCGGGCGAGGCGACGCTTGCCGTCCGCCAGTGGGTAGCGAGCCGAGCAGGCAGGCAGCAGCCGGCCTGCACCGCGGCGGACCCATTCACGCACCAGGCGTTTGAGGAGCGGGTTGGTGAGCCGTGCAGACGCTGGTCGTTCGAGGACGTGTCCGCCGGCGAGCTCGACGAGGAGGAGCCCTTCGACCTCGCGATCGCTGTAACGGGCGCCTAGATGCCGGGTCCAAACCCAACCCACCTCTCGGCTGCATTGTCGACTGTTTGTGCAGCGCCGGTCTCGGCGGCCTCAGGGTTGCGTCCCATGCACGTGTGTTATCCAAGGAGGTGTGTCTTCTCACTCTCAGGCCTTCACTCCACCTCCTCTCGACAAGTCGACTATTCATTGGCCCAGAGCAGTTGGCTGATGAGAGTAGGCCTTTGCGCTGCACCTGCTCGACAAGTCGTACTTCAACTCGGCGCTGACCGCACTCGCACGCGCGTCGTCGCTGCTGCTCGTGGCGACGCCGCACAAGCGTCCGCACATCTCCACGGCGGACGGGTGGGAGGAGCAGGCTGCCGAGCTGGCGCCGCGACTAGCCGAGAGATGGCCGAGACATAGCCGAGATGCAGCCGAGGCGTAGCCGAGATGCCACCTGCTTCGTGTTGCTCCGCTGCTCACCCTGCTGCCGGCTCCGCCTGTGTGCGTGTCGTGTACGACCAGTCCACAGTCCACAGTCCACACGCCCCAGTCAACGCCGCCGCGCATCGACCTCAGGTGGTCGACCGCGTGCGCGTGCGCTGCTATCGCTCCCTCCTCCGCCCCCCGCCGGATGACGCTGTGGTGGCCTCCGCCGCCGCCGCCGCCGCCGCCGCCGCTGCGAGGGAGGAAGCGGCGGCGGCGGCCGCTGCAGAGGCTGCGGAGAGGGCGGCAGAGGCGGCGGCGGAGGAGGAGGAGGAGGATGCGTCGGCGGAGGGGCGGGCGAGCACGAGCGGCGACGAGTCTGGTCTCGACGAGGTGCGGCCGAGAGATGGCCGAGACACAGCCGTCTCCTCCCCTCCTCCTCTCCTCCCCTCCTCCTCTCCTCCCCTCCTCCCATCCTCCCCTCCTCCTCCCATCCTCTCCTCCTCTCCTCCTCTCCTCCCCTCCTCCCCTCCTCCTCAGGCAGAGATGGAGATGCACCTCGGCTGCACCTCGGCTGTTTCTCGGCTGCACCTCGGCTGTATCTCGGCTGTAGGCAGAGATGGAGGAGCTGTCTGCCGAAGTCGAGGCGATGAACATGGGCGCACTTCGCAGCGCGCTGGCGGCCAGCCTCGCGGTGGAAGCGACGCGTCTCTCGGACCCTTCTCGGACCCTTCTCGGAACTTTCCCCTTAGGCGGAGCGCGGGCTCGACAAGAGCGGCAAGAAGCCGGCGCTGGCGGCGCGGCTGCTGGAGGCGAGAGGGTGCGGGAGGGGCGCGCAGCCTGTCGCTAACGAGTCACCCTCTCTCGCTACGTGATGCCAGGCGAGGGTGCGGGAGGAGCGCGCGGCCGCTGCCGACGGGAGCAGTGACGAGGAGGAGGAGGAGGAGGAGGGCGAGGAGGAGGAGGAGGGCGGAGAGGAGGGCGAGGGCGAGGTCGAGCGTGCCGCTACGAAGCGCGACGCTGCCCGAGTGGCGGCGCAACAGGCGGATAGCCGAGATATGGCCGAGATCTGGCCGAGATGTGGCCGAGATCTGGACGAGATAGCGCACAGGCAGGCGCAGACCGCGAGGTACGTGGCGGAGCAAGAACTCGGCTCTGTCTCGGCTGATCTCGGCTCTATCTCTGCCCAACCCTGGTGCATCTCGGCTAGATCTCGGCCGTCTCTTTGCTACCCCTCAGGCGGAGGCTCAGGCGGAGGCCGCGCGCCAGGCGGCGGTGGAGCGCGCGCGGGCGCAGAGAAGGCCGCGGCGAACCGGGCGGCTATATGGACCAATGAACGAGTTCGCAGTTCATGGTCGTTAGGCAGAGAAGGCCGAGGCGGAGCGGGCGGCGAGGCGCGCGAGGAAGGCCAAGGCGGTCGCTGGAGGGGCGCTGGCGTGTCCATGAGGCTACCATGACCCGTCCATGACACGTCCACAGGCGGTCGCCCAAACCGGCGGCGCGGCGGAGGCGGAGGCGGCGGAGGAGGCGGCGGAGGAGGCGGCGGGGAGGGCGGCAGGGGCGATGGTTGCGAGCGCCGGCGATGCGCTCACTCTCGCGGAGGCGGGGGCGGTGCTGCTGTCGGAGACTTCGGCTGTCTCTCGGCTGTATCTCGGTTGTATCTCGGCTAGGCGGAGGCGGCCCGGCTGGCTGAGATCTCTGCGCAGCTCGAGGCGGCGGCGGCGGCGGCAGAGGCGCGGGCAGCGCGGCTCGTGGCGAGGGCGGAGGCGCTCGCGGAGGAGGAGAGGCAGCGCTCGCTCGACCGCGCCTTCGACCAGGCGGAGCAGCTAGAGAGGTGGGAGACCAGCAGCCGGACGAGGGTCTGGAGACCGGCGCGGTATGGGCGGACGCATGGACGACGGTCCCACTGGAGCGGCACACAGACACACGGAGTACGACTCGCAGCGTGGATCATCTAGGCGGAGGCGTCCGGCGCAGCCCTCGCGCAGCTCGAGGCTATCGACGAGGCGGTGGAGGCAGGCTCCCTCACGCTCGAGGCCGCCATCGAGCAGCTCGCGGCGATGCGCCGCTGACTGGCGGCTCAGACTGCGACTGTGCTGGGCGACGTTGGGGGGTTGGAATCTGGCTTGTGTGGGTGCATGACCCATGGCCATGCGGGGGAGGAGGAACCGCGCGCTCATAAGGGAGTATCCGACACCGACATACACACTATACAACATTTTCAAAGAGAAGGTCCGACCTGTGGGCTCCGGCCTGCGCTCGGCACCGGGCACCGACTCTTCGTTGGGAGAGTCCAGCGCTGCAAGGCCAAAAAAAGTCGCGCGCGCAGCGAGTCGACGTCGAGGAGGTGGGCTGCGCTCAGCTGCCTGCGCTCGCCAAAGCAGCTCAAAGCGACTCGTGCCCATGGTAACAGAGCCGAATCTGGACAAGAACGACGGAACGGAGCCCAAGGCAAGGAAGAAGGAGAAGAAGACGAAGAAGGAGCGGCGGGCAGAAAAGGAGTCGGTGTACGCGGGGAAGAAGAAGGAGAAAGCTGCCGCGCTGCCCGCGTCGGCCCGCAGGGCTGCGCAGTCTGCCGTGGTGACAGCGGCCGAGGTCCGGAAGCGGCCTCGCGAGGAGACGCTCTCGGCGAAGGCGCCCAAGTTGCCCGAGCCGCCAGAGCATTCGCCCGCTGCTGACGCCAGCGAGGCCGCGGCTGCCGACCAGCCCAAGCCGTCGCTGGAGGAGGCGGAGGCGGCGGCGGGCCGGACGATGCACAAGGACTCGAGAGAGGCCGCCGAGGCTGCCATCACCCAGGGACGGCGCGTCTACGTCTCCAACCTCCCGTTCAGCACGTCGGACGAGTGGGTGCGGACCAGCTTTTCGGCGGTCGAGTCGATCCATTGGATTGCCGCCAAGGGGAGCGGCTTCCGCGGCTCCGGCTTTCTCACCTTTGCCAGCGCCGAGGCCGCCACCGAGGCGGGTCTGCTTCCAGCTCCTCCCTCTCGCGGTGACACACGTCCGTGACGCGTCCACGACTCCGCGAGCAGGCGGTGAGCTGGAGCGGCAGCGAGGTGGGAGGCAGACCCATCACAGTCGAGCTCGCCCTCGGCACGGCGCCGCTCGAGCAGGCTCTGCGGCCTCTCCGCTCCCCCGCCCCTCGAGCCGCGGCCCTCTTGCAGCTCGGCCAGATCTCGGCCAGATCTCGGCTGCGTCTCGGCTCCTCTTGTGAGCCGCCGCCCCGCCTCCCCCCGCAGAGCTGCGTGTTCGTGCGCAACCTGCCCGCTGAGCAGTGGAGCCTCGAGGCGGTGAGGAGGATCTTCGAGGTGCGGTCTCGCAGAGATGCCGGAGAGGCGGGTGGCGTGGCACTGCGTCCGCACCCCTCCTCCCCGCGATGCCCTCAGGCTTGCGGCCCGCCCGCCGCCATCCGCCTTCCCAAGAAGGGCAAGGCGGCGATCCGCTTCAAGACGGCCGCAGCAGCAGCGGCGGCAGCAACGAGGGACGGCGAGGAAATTGGCGGCCCCAAGGGGGCGCTTAACCCGTTTTCCCCCCTCACCCACCTTGCCCCTTTTTGGCCCCCCCCCCCCCCCCTCTCACCCCCCCCCCCCCACGCCACCCACCGGCCGCAGGTGCGCGTGCTCCTCACATCCGCCCTCGCCGACCCCGAGGCCGAGGCGGAGGAGGCGCGCCGCAGGGCACGCGGCGGCGCGGCGGCGGCGGCGCGGCAAGAGCAGCTTCCAGCGCCCCCGACGCTCGGCGAGCCAGGGTACCGCTCGAGCCACGCGCGGCGGGGAGGGCCGCGAGAGCGGGCGCACAGCCGGCAGCGGCGACCGCGCCGCACGGCCGAGGATCCGGCCGCCGAATCGCAGGGCCACTGAGATCAGACTACGCGAGGGAGGCGTGGCCGTGGGCCGAGCGCACGTTTTGTTTTTCCGCAGGGTGGTTTTGTTTTCGTTCCAGCCGGTGCGCGCCGCGCTAAATAGTAAATTTTAACCAATTACCAAAAACGGTTGAAGAAAATGCATTTTTGACTAGTTGCACTGAAGGGCTCACGCTATAGGGTGCTGGATGAGGACGGGTACGATGCACTAGCCCCTGCCGTCGGGGGGGTGTTGCCAGCACTGGTAGATGACCTCTCGGAGAAGAGTCGGAGGGACCTTGGCGCCGGGGTCACGAGGAACTTGCAAGTCGTGGCCGAGGCGGCGACGGGCGCGGTGCAGAGGTGGATCCAGCTCAATGATGAGGCTACGGCGCGCATAATGAAGAGAGAGGAACACATCGAGTGGCTGAGGAAGCTCTTCATTCACTGGGTGGAAAGAGGCTCGGCCGGCCTTGAGGGAGTCGCAGAGGAGGGATAACGCAGGCAACGCAGGGACGAGCCAACAGCCAGTGGGACGAACGAGGGCCGCGACGGGGGCTCAAGCGGGAGGGAGCGGAGACGGTGGGGAGCGGTTCAGATGCTGGGCGGGCTTCAGGCTGGTGCTCACGCGAAAAGGCATCGACGCGGATGTGTAAAGCATACAAGAAGGGGAGAAGGAAGAGGAGAGACGCCGGTGAGGACGAAGCAGAGACTAGCGCAGACGAGAGCAGGGCAGACCCGGGGACTGGGGAGCCGGAGCAGACGGCATCGGCCGCCGAGGGAACGTTGGGAAGAGGCACGAGGAGGGCGTCGACCTCGACCGACTATGGAGGACCCGTCGCCAGACGACGCAGGGCAGAAGACGGTGAGGCGGAGCAGACGCGCAGGGCGAGACGAGGGAGGGAGCAGGACTTTGCGGAGATCAGCAGGAGGATGTACGAAGAGATTAGGAGCAGCAGGGACCCGAGGGACCATGTGGAAGACGGCTAGTGCTAGTCCCCCACCGGGAGGACGACCCCGGCTAGTCGCCGACCACACCCACAAAGAACCCTGCACAAAGATCGCAAGGGCGGGGACCTGTTCCTTTTTACCCATCTCACAGTAGAGAGGTGTCCGTTTTTATTTATTTATTTAATACGGGTGGTGTGGAAATGACCACTTTTGATGTTTTTTTGTCCGTGTTGCTCCCAGCGCCCTCGCCCGCGCTCCCTGAGGCCATGGCTGGTGCTACTAGTATGGAGGGCTACCTGGCTACCGCGAGAGCGACCCAACTCGTCGACATCGTCCGATGATGATGCCTCAAAGTCAGCCTCCGGAGGCTATCGTCGCGTCGAGCCGGCGGTGGCCGTGACATGTGGTTCCACCACCCCTCGCAGGCTTTGCCTCTGACCGCCACCGTTCCCAGGCTGCCTAATGGGATGGAAAGGAAGGCTGGGCGAGCGTATAGAAGCGTGCTCGACCTCGTCGTGGCAGCCTGCACGGCAGCGCTGGCAGGCGCGATGAGCGTCGTGCCACCTGACCCGAGACGGGTCGCAGGCGTCGTACCGAGCGCGTCGAGACCGTGTCCTGATGCGCTCTGCACGGGTGAGTCACGTCGGCGTCAAAGGAGCGACGTGTGACCTGTCAGATCTTGATCTCCGATCTCAGCGGCGTCGAGTCGCCTTCGGCGGCGACAGCTAGGATGCATCTCCTCCGTCGTTTTTCGCGCTACAGCCCTGAGAAGCTGGCGCCGCACGCAGGCGGACCTTGTGTATGCGGCGAACGCTTAAAAAGTGGGTGCTCTACGTCACTTTTTTGAGTAGATAGTGCCGAGCTGGCCGTGACAGCGATTTTGGTAGTTTTGGGCGGGTTTTGCACCACAGACTTTTTGCAACTAGTCTTTTAAGACGACACGTGAGACAGTGCACTCCAAGTGCTCCAAGTAAGGCGCCCCGCGCGGGCGAAAACGGCGCGGAGGGCCCGGAGACGCAGAGGCGCGGCACCCCACCGGCATACGCGACACGGCCGGCGCGGGGCTACACGCCTCGCTCGTACTCGACGCTTGGCGAGACGACCCTGCCCGCACGCCTCGCGCGCGCCTCCGCCTCGCTGCGCAAATGCGGCTCGATCTCGTCGAGCGCCAAGCTGCCGACGGGCGGGTAGAAGGACGCCGCGGTGGGCAGCCAGACGGAGAAGACCGCCGCGGTGACGGCGACCTGCGTCGCCAGGCTCGGCTGCCTGATGCGCCGCGCCGCCGTGTAGAGCCACACCACGGCGGGGACGATGAGGAAGTTGCCGACGGGCATCAGCAGCCTACTCCCACACATCGACACCTCGCCGGACGCTCCTGTTGAGAGGCGGAGCCGCGCGGGCAGCTGCGGCCGCCTGGTCACGCACGTGTCGCGGACCGCCCTCTCCCCGGCGGCGCGAGACAGGCCGAGCGGCTGCCCGTCCGCCGGGTCCGCGACAGGAACCCCTACGGAGGGTGCCTCCCGAGGTCTCGAGGCGCGGGGGAAGCGCGGCCTCGCCAGCTGCGAGGCGCGGCGTGCGTCCAGGAAGCGGTCAAGGAAGTGGTCTATAAGGCAGGAGCTGTCTACGGAGCGTCGAGCGGCTGTGAGTGCGCCTCGCGTCGCGTCGGACGAGCGCATGCACGCGCTCCCGAGGAAGTTCGCGAGGGCGACGGCCGGGTAGGGGGCGAACCGCGCGAACGGCTTGAGCAGCGGCGACCGCTGCGAAAGCTTCCCGCCGCCGACGGCGATCGGGATCGCGGTGACGAGAGCACCGATGTACGAGGCTGCGACGACGGCTGTGCTTGGGCCGTCTCCCTCGGCTGACGCGCCGCGGTTGCACCACGTCACCCCGGCCAGGTGGGTCTGGTTCAGCCACTGGCCAAAGACGATGCGCCGCGTGCACGTCGGGTGGTGCAGCGCAGACGACACCATGAAGGCGATCGTGGGAGTGTTGCACAGAGCCCAGCCGCATCCGCGCAGCGGCATCGGCAGGAGCTCCCCGGCTGGAGCCGCCGTCGCGAGCACACCGGTCGCGTGCCAGCAGTCGCTGTCGCTACGCGGCTGGCCAGCTGCCCTGGCGGCGAGCGTGGCGTTTGCCTCTGCCACCGCCGAGTCTCCAAAACGGAGACCGAGCGGCGATAGCACGGCCCAGTTGTAGCGCCAGCGGCCAGAAAAGGTGCTCATGTCGAAGAGCTCCGATAGATGGGCTCCAGGGTGGAATGGTGGTGGCAGCGGCGGTGGCGGCGGTGGCAGCGGCGGCGATGGCAGCGGCGGCGGCGGCGGCGGCGGAGGCGGCAGCGGCGGTGGCGGCGGAGGCTGTCGCATGGTTTTTTATTCCGCGCGATTTCTTCTTTTAACTGGCCTTGCGGCACTGGCACAAACACAGGTAGGAGTAGTAGTGCAACTGCGTCGCGGTGCAAAGATCGAAGCACGAAGGAGCGAGCGAAGGAGAAGCGGGTGTGACGAATTCTGTCTTTTCTGAGAGCCGTGACAGAGTTTTCTCTTTTCTTGGGAGCGATTCTAAGATCAGGTCTGCCACCTCCCCGCTGGAAACGAAAATCTAAGTTTCAAATCTCGAATAAATCTCGAAGCACACTTGAATGCTCACTTGGCAGGTAACATATGCGCCACGCGCCCCAACCGCTCCTCTGGTCGCCGCCGGCCTCCGCGGCGGCGGCGATGTCCCAGCGCCACCCATCGGCCAGCCCTCAGATCGATCGATCGGCGCTCAAAGTCGGCTTCAGATCCGAGAACGCTGCTGGCGCCGCCGCCGATCCCAGCGGCGACGCCAGCAGCTTCCTCTGCTCTCCAATGCGCCGAGAAGCGACGCGGGGGTGCTCGGCCCGCCATGGACGACGAAGGTTCCGCCGGGCGCGCGTCAGCCGGTCCGGTGGCACCCTCTGCGCGCGGCACCTGCCGGCGCCCCGACGACAGCCGTCGCGCCACCGCTGATGGAGGGGCGGTCGGCGCCGCTGCCGCCGCGCCGCCGGTGGGAGGGGCACTGGTGGTGGCCTGGGCGGCCCTCCGCCGCCGCTCGGGGCGCCCGGGCAGCGGTGGCAGCCTGCCGCCGCACCACTTCGAAATGCCCGCTGACCACTTCGAAATGCCCGGTCCGGAGGCCGCGATCGGCGCTATTCTTTTTTCTCACTTGCAAAATTCGTGCCAATAGAGGAAACTCAAGCGGGCAGGCTGGAAGCACTGAGGGACGGCCGATTTTCGCCCAGTGGTAGACCTGATCTTAGAATCGCTCTTGGGTTTGCCGTTTGGCGTTTCCCACGGGTACGAATCGTCGATCGCGACGATCGATCTATATTCAAGTCTCTGGAGACAGGAGAGAACGCCATTAAAACGAAAAAGTCCTCGCGCGCAACATACACATATGGCATGGACCCGACAACAAATATTGGCCGGTTGGCAAGCGCGCGGCGCGCGCGCGCGTCTCTCCGGCGCTGCGCACGCCAACCGGCACCCGCCTCCGCCGCCAGTTGTGGGGCCCTGGCGGCGAGGCGGCGAGACTCGGGAGAGGCCCACTCCCAGACACAGCAGACACGAATCACATACCAGCACAAGCACAGCGTGTTCAGAGAGGGTGAGGAGCGCCGTCCAGGACGGCGCTGCCCGCCGCGGGCGGGCTCACTGCTGCCGTTGCCGAAAGTCTGGCGGTGCGCCCGCGACCGCGGTGGCGATGGCGGGCGGCGGCGTCGGCGCGGCGTCGGCGTCGCCGCCTCCGCCTCCGCCTCCCTCCTCAAACGGCGCGTACTCTCCGCCCCCCTCCTCCGCCGCCGCGAGGCTGGCGCCGTCCGGCCCGCCGCGCGGTCTCAGGCTCGCGGGCCGACTGGCCGCGGTGCGCCTGCCCGCACCAAAGGGGTCGCTGCTCGAGCCTACGGGGAAGGGTGGGGAGGGGGGGGGGAGGGGGGGAGGCGGGTTGTGCTCCGCGCTGCGGCCGTGCGGGCGCCACGAGCCCGCGCCTGCTGCGCCGCTCGGCAGCGTGTGCCGCAGTCCCTTCGGGTCCGCCTCCAGCTCGTCCAGGTCCTATGAGTTCACGCCCCACGCCTGAAGGGAGGTCCGCCTCCGAGGCCCTGCCACCCGAGGGAGAGGCCGGCGCTCGCCGGGGCCACATCCCGGCTACGCGCCTCGGCCTCGCCTCGGCAACGCCTCGGCCTCGGCTAGGCCTCGGCTAGGCCTCGGCTAGGCCTCGGCTAGGTCTCGGCTAGGTCTCGGCTAGGTCTCGGCTAGGTCTCGGCTAGGTCTCGGCTAGGTCTCGGCTAGGTCTCGGCTCCTCCGAGAGGCCGACGTTCATCGGGACGCCAAAGTGCTGCGTGTCGCGCGCCCGCTTGGTGACGGCCCAGCCGCCGTCGCTGCCAGTGCAGATGCGGCAGAGGGAGATGCAGATGAGGACCACCTGCAGAGGGGCCAGGGCCCAGAGGCCAGCGCCCGGTCTCGTGCTTGTCTGCCTCGCGGCCCCTCTCCACCGGGAGGGGGGGGGGGGGGGGGAGGACCTGCCAGAGGAGGTAGGGCACGCCGAGCGCTTGAAGAGGAGGATGAAGATCCAGTTGCGCGGCGGCTCGAAGAGGACGGCGTTGCGAGA